AAAAAAAAAAAAAAAAACTCGTGGTTAATCTCAAATTTTACAAAGAAACTTGTTCCCAAAAACAATCAATCCATCAATCAATCCATCCATTTTCTAACCGGCAGAGTTAGAAGAGTGGGCTGTGGTGGCAACAAGGTAATCAGTGCAGTCTAGATAACCCTCATCCCAGCAATTTACCCAAACACAAACCAGGCAAGGCTATGGCAATCCCAGGTGATTGGGAGACAAAGACTCACAAACATGCCCTCAATGTGCCACTGGGTCTCTTCCTCACCGCTCATGCCTGGTAAAGGCTACGTCCAAACAGGGGCCTCCAGGGGACATCTTTTTTGGATGTCCCAATCACTTCAACTCACATCCCTCAACACAGAGGAACAGCACGACCATGACATCTGTCTCGGCAACAGAGCTCCTCACCGTATGACAGACAGCTAACCATGAGTGTTCTAGTCACGCCAAGATTTCATTCCGTTACTCTGATAAAAATAAAAAAAAAAGGTTTCCTTCCTGTATTCATTTTATAACCAATAATGCTTACTGCGGCAAATTTGACCAAACTATTTTTGGTTTATTATGAACAATGGTTTACGGTGGTTTTGGTGCTTTGGCTTTTCGCTACTGCACTTTCACTGCTGCACACTGCACTTTCACTGCTGCACACTGCACTTTCACTGCTGCACACTGCACTTTCACTGCTGCACACTGCACTTTCACTACACACTGCACTTTCGCTACTATGTCCAATCTGTTCACTACTATTACTAAATGCAAGTTAAGAACATAAATATTACTTAACAATCAATAGTAAAGCATTATAAAAAAAAAAAAAAAAAAAACCATTCGCATTAAAGCACAAAACAAAGATTGAATCGGCAACAAACACTTTGTTTGATTATAGTAGTGAACAAACCTGGACATAGTAGCAAAAGTACTGTATGCAGTAGCGAAAGTGCAGCAGCGAATAGCCAACGTATATTTTGAACAAGACTGCAAGGACACAGCCATTATCTTGGCAAATTTCATGAACAAACCATTTCCTTCTTTATGGGTCACAATCACTGTTCTTTGTAGAATGACTGGATTGTTGACGCAGTAGTAAGCAGCACAGGCAGGCTGAATTGCTATGGCTATGGAGTGCACCAACAAAAAATGTACAGATCTAAAGCCTCCCAAAAAACCTGGCTCCGTCTTGAATCTGAAGGTTGAATATCAGTCTGAGCCTTGTTTCAAGCATCTTGGCAAAAGCTTTTATAGGAGGCAGAGGAGTGGGATTCCCTGGTAATTTGAACATGCCCTCAAGTCCCCAAAGACAGGGGATCACCTCCCTATGCTGGCACTCCATAGGTACTGTTCCCAAACTCCATGCGACATTGAGGATTAGCTCATCCAGAATACACTAACAGTGAGAGCCTCAAACATTTCAGGACAGATGGCTTCAAACAGTACCCAATCACAGAAGAGTTCACCCACTCCAGAGACAGGAGTTCTCATCCGCCAGGCTGTTGCAGCTCTGCTTCCCAAAGGAGAGAGATACCATCCACAGTGACTCAGTGAAATTATTCCAAAAATTTATGTTTCTCATTAACTTAGCATATGGCCCAAAAATGTAACCATCAAACCATGAGCACTGTATGCTTACACAAGCATATCAATTTCTTTTCCAGGGTAGAAGTTACCCTGCAATGAGTAAGCATTGATGTGCACGTCCACTTCAAAAATCAATAAGTCAAGTGGCAAATTTACAGCAAAATGCATCATAAAACAGGAGTCAGAAATATTTTTGAAGCAGTTGGAGAGTTATCAACGCTGCGAGGGATCGAATACTGCAGCTTTTTGGGGCATGGTAATGCGGAAGGTTCATATTACATCAGGAGAAAAACACGAGATCAGTTTGGCAGCCAGGAGCACTGTAGAGTCTAAATGGTAAAACAGCAACAATTAATCAGAAATTCTGCCCATGTACTGACAGATTGTCGATGTTCAGGGAACTTCTCCCAGCAAAGCCAGCAACATTAGAAACAGCAGCAGGGAGTGGGAGGGTGGGGACTGTCAGGAATATAACTGAAGCAAAGGCAGCACGTAACAAAGCTTGGCAAAATTCACTCCTTTACTGGATTTCTTTTTAAGATGTAACCCACCGCGTCTATAGATGCTGTTCATACAACAGAAGCCTAACAACATTAAAAAAGGTCTTTAGCTTACTGCTTAAGCCATAGTTTCCATTAGAAAAAAAAATTAGTGCTGGTCCAGGTGTCCTGAAGATTTTAATCTCTCGGACAAATAGGAAAAATTCTGGTCAGAATTTCCCTCAAAGACATTCAGAAATTGCCCGTGATTAACGCCAAAAAAAAAAAAAGATAAGCAGGCCACAAATTCTGACATCAAGGCATTTAGATTTATATTAGTTTATGAAAAGTACAGGCTAACTTTGCTCACACTGTATATTACACTCCCAATAAAATAAGTCTCGTTAGACTCGCCTGCATAAAGCCATTTAAAAACAAGAGTCATCATAAGATGAAATATCCCTCCGGCCCCCGAAATCTAACCTCAGAAATCTCAACATATCAAAAGGCCCCAGTCCAGGACGTGATTAATACGCACAGCAAGTTTAGTTAAAAAATGTCGAACAGAATTCGAGCTCTGCCCCAGAAACTAAACTAGACTACATCAAATTGGAGGATTGTATCAAGTTTTAATAGTAACTTTAGTATAACTTTCAGTTTGTTTTCTGTTTAGTTTGGAGAGCAAATGGATAGGAATTAGATAAGGCCACCTCATTTTGTCAGTCAAAAATGTTGAAAAATAAAAATATTCACCTGCATTTGATGCAAAAGTTTGTGTTATGCTTAAGGATGGTTGGTCATAGAACACTGCATTATAAATAATTCACATCAAAGCAAAAATCTCAACATTTTTGCTGTTTGGAGAAGTAGGGGGCACCTTGTATTTTGCTTCAAAGATTATTTGCACTGAGTAACATTGTCAGATTTAGCTGACTTCTGGTCAATGAGTTTATGATCCAGAAAATGAAGTGCTTGGAGGTAAAACAATACTTTGTTTTTCAGTAAGTCAGTGCAAAGTGACTTCAGCATTGAATTTTCATGTACTGTAGTTCCCTTGTGTTTGTGGCACTATTTTATTGCCCCAAAATTGAAAAAAATACAACGAAGTAAGTTTTATTTCCAATTGATGCAAGTGTACTGCTTCATTGAAATCATTTTTCCAGCCTCTGTGATGCTCAAATCCTGAGTAATAAAGCCCTAAACAGGGGTTATGCACAACTAGGAAGGATGGGCTTGATTTGGCATCCATGCAAAGGGATTAAATGTTTAGTAGCTGAATATGGTACAATTTGATGATAAAGAACTATTTACTGTATGTTCACTCGGCAAAGCAATCTATATGTTGCCCTTTCAGGCAACTTAAGTGATTTTGATTTATTCCATTTATTTCTTTAGTAATTTCTTTGATTAATCATCTCCTTATTAATGATATCTAGTATCTACAAAATAATGATCGACTAAGCATACCTCTTCTGGTTCGATTCGTAGTACTGCAGCTTCAATTAATGTGGGAAAAAAGGCATCCCTTACGGTAGTCCGTTGGAATGGTCTGAAATGTCAACGGTTTTATTTCAGCACGAATTAAAACGCTACACCATAAACAATTCCAAACCTAAATGGAAATGAAAATAACTTTTTGAATCAACTTTATGGTCAAATAAAAGAATCAGCCTATTTTGTAGTCATACTTCAACTTCACAAGTGCAATGGCAGAATCTTCAAGGGCAGCATGAAGAGAAGGCTCTGAAAGGAGTTTAAAAATTTTGACCAATCGCTCAATCAGAAAAAAACCGCCCACTGTTGGTTGACCAAGATATGTTTTAGTCAGGGACAGCCCTATTATTTATTCAGGCAAAAGAGACAAATGAAAGGGTTAGCGTTATTTACATCCGGCTATTCAATCACATTTATACTCAAGTTAGTTACATTTATTGTAGTTAGGATACAATTAATTCATAGGTTAAAGTAATAAATGTGTTGAAGTGTTCTCAATACAGTAGAGAGAGAGTGGACTTTCAAATCACTCCTTTTTGATTTAATTTACATTCCCATGAAGTGCAAACCTTTTCAAAATTGGGGTTTGACAAATCAGACCCCATCTAGTATTGAAATAATCCCGTAGAAATACTTGCATGAAGTAGTTTCCCAGCTGCCAATGCCATCAGTTCACAGCATTAAGGGTTTCAGCCAGTTTCCTATAGGCCTATTCTTTGAGACCTTGAGAGTCATTTCTAAAAAAATTCCTGGTACCAAAAATACTCCAAAGGGTAGTTCCTTTCCAATTATCTTGTGCACCTGTAATGCCTCTGTTGCATGGTTCTGAATGGCAAAATACAGCACAACTGAATGAGCCATTCTCTTCCTTCCTCATTGTTGATACTTATTACAGGGACTGATTCCAGGCTCACAAAGAAAACATCTGGTACACTGTCCTTCGCGTCACTGTAAAGCTAACAAACTTCCGCCAATTAATCAGACCCAACGCCTATCAAGTTAGCGCCAGCACAATGCCATCCAAATGTTGATGGACAACACAATGTATAGGAAAGCTACTTCTTGTTTTTATTAAAAAAAAATGTGGCATCTCCAATCCCACCCGAATCTGGAATGCCCAATTGGTGAACTATGTACAAAGCTTGCTCGTATGCGACCCCTTGCTGCCAATTCACGGCTCTCCTCCGAAGCACGCGCCTGTCAGCCACCACTTCTTATACACTCATTGGTTGAATTGTCGCAAGTTCAGAATGAGGGCGGAGGATACCCGGACATGAACAGGCTTGGAATCTTCCTGACGAGCGCCCGTCTGGCCAACAGGAGGCGCTAGAGCAACGAACAAGGTAACTATTATTTTCCCTCCCCGGCAGTCCCTTCCCAATTTGCAACCCTGTAGCGCAATAGCCAATTGTGCGCTACTCTGAAAAAGCTGCTGACCACTGCCGGATGGTACGAGGCGGGGATTGAACCCGCGACGTGATAGTCACTTCTGCTTCGCAACGCAATGCTTTACCGAGTGAGCTATCCGGCAGCTGGAAAGCTACTTCTGACACAAACAAAACGTGAGGGTTTGAATAAAAGCAGAATATCCACTAGGGTTGGGCGATTGTTTCTATTTTCATATTGTCCGATCATAGTTACTTGAGATCGAGGATAGGCATCTGATCACCCAAGGAGTGGCGGGGGGCAACATCATAGCACACTAATGAAATGTGCAAAAAAAAAAAAAAAAACCGCAACTTGCATTTGGGGATACTATCAGTTTCACCTGTATGCCAAATGTGAGCCTAAGAATATTATATATTACCTATCTCTGAGCTATGTAAAAGATGGTTGCAAGCCAAGGCCATGCAAACCCCTCATTTATTTGCACGTGTGCATCGGTTCTCCATCCTGCCGAGGCTGCAAAACTGTCCCAAGCTTGTACTGCTAGCATCGTAGGTGCCATTAGCCAAACCCACCTCGGCAGCGCTCGCCATTGGCAGCTTTAGCTCAAGGCTCCAAATGCAGGCAACATGGCATGAGATGGGTCCACATCAAAGCAGCTATTCAAACTTATCAAGATGGTCCCATTCCACCCAGTTGAGAAAGAAACTTTAAAAGAAATGCTGTCTACATTAGACTAGCAGAAACGGCTGCCCGGCTAAAATGTTTCTGCTGCATTTACATTGCAGGTCTTGATGCCCAGATCAGATTTTCTGTCGATGTCCAATTTTTGCGACTGCTAGTTTAAAAGTGACCCATATCCAATACCCGACTTTACAATTGCTTAATACTTCAAACAACCCGCATGCGTACATGAACATTTTGCTTTACTTCCGTTTTGGTAACCAAACAGAAGCAAAAGTGAACAACCAGCCGGCGCCATTTGCAATGCAAATGAGACTGAAATAATAATTCTCGCTGTTGCTTTCCGAAGCATCTTTGAGGCACACTGTAGTCAAGAATGTTTAAAACCTTACTCTTGCATCTAGGCTGAAATGTTTTCGGTACAAACCCTATATTTTGGTCTGCACTGAAGCGTTGCCCAAAAGGCTTAAAACACGGGTAACCTCAGCAGGTGTCCACGTGCCTGAGCCTTTATCCTCCATGACATTTTTACCCTCTCAAAGTTTTTTCCTGTATATGAAGGCAAAATAAAAAAATTGCAACTAAATGCTGAAATCTTTGGTTCATCCCTCCCGCACCCTACCGTGCTCTGCCCAAACCCATCAGGTGGAGCTGCTATGTTTGCAGGAAATAAGGCACACCACATACTCCATGCCCTGAGCACAGGCCAACCCAGCTCAAGCCACAGAGGAGCCCCAGGGTTCAGCAAACTGCCAGCATCTGGGAGGGGCATTTATTACCCAACAGGGACGTGTATGCCTGAGCCTAACCCTGTTGTATGAGACAATGTCAGACTCAGTTCCACAGGAGTAAGGACTTTCCAGGGCAAAGGGCAAACTTGGAGGATCAGTGAACTGAACATTCAATACACCGCCCCCTTAATTTGGTTTCATTTTTTATAACTCTCTGCTATTGAACATTCCAAAGGTAGTAAAAAAAAAAAAAAAAAAAAAAAAAAAAAAAACATTATGCAGCTATTTTTACCTACTGCTAAAACTAGCTTGAGCCAAAGACTTCACCCTGCCTTCCCCCGAGGACAGTAAAAGAACAAAAACCACCATGCAGGTGCATAAATCTTCCCTCCCCACAGGTATACTGATCAATGTGTCTGGTGTCTGAAACTTTCACAAAATGGAATTAACCACAGACCGATCCCAAATAAGGGCAAAAACGAACAAGTTAAGAGTCTGGCATGCCTTTCTGTTGTTTTTGGCAACATTTGACAAAACTCTGCATTCCTAACACATACCACAAAAATATCAGATTGTCAATGGGGGGGGGCAGTTCCCACATCCATTACCTATTTTAGACAAGCCAGCAGAAGCAGAGCCTGAGAGGCTCTATACACTCTCCTAAAGAGAGGTTGGATAACTTCATTAGAAGTGGTCCCTCATTAGCAGCAAGATAAAAGAGAAGCTAGATCAATAAGCAAACGGTTACAGACAGGGAGAGACTCTAAACATCCCACAGCCAGCATAAGTAAGCGAATGGCCATCGCCTGACAAGGCACAATTCGTATCGTCATTCTGAATTTGAGCTGTGCTAAGTGGGGTCACCCACGCACACTTCTTTACTTCTGGTTGAGGCGGCAACTTCGCTGGTCTAAGTTCACCAAGTTAAAATTCACATGAAATGAAGATGCAAGTTTGCTTCTCTACTAGAAGCAAATGTTTTAGTCACCCCTTGACTCCCATTGAATGGAAATGAACAGGAAGGGAACATTCACCAATGTTAATTTCACAAGTGTGACCGTGCCCTTATGCACACTGCAATCTTGACCACGTCATTTTAAAATTCTCTTCATATTGAAGGAGTCTGCAGAGAGGATAATTAAAATTAAATGAGATACAGAGCCAAGGCTTTCAAACCATCTCAGATGCTCCACTGGGAGTTGAAGCAGCCGCAGACTGGTGTGGCCTGATGTTAGCGGATGTGGTGTAGTGTGGCACGGCGACACACTGAGCTAGACGGACACTCCGCAGACGCCCACACCATCCCCCTTCCATTTCACTCCTCCCTCACTCAATTCTGGAAGAAAAAACAGGCACTCAAATGCACTTACATGCCAGTGCGTTGAGCGCCTTACAATACCTCAGAATGGGGCGCCCCGGTGGCTCATCGGTCTAAGTGCGCGTACCATAAAAAGGCTGTATCCTTACCGCAGCGACCTGGGTTCGATTCCAGCACAGGTCATTTGCTGCATGTCTTCCCCCATTCTTCTCCCTAACATTCCTGTCTCTCTACACTGTACAACTGTCAAATAAAGGAAAAATTCCCAAAAAAATAATCTTTAAAAAAAAAAAAACAATACCTCAGAATGCACTGTGACTCCTCAGGACCAGAGGACCCAAACCCCACATGGCAATATTATTTAGTACAACCTGGACCCGGTCCAGTAAGCATTCACCTGTATGCACAGGTCTAGAGGGGATGAAAGAACATAGCAGGCTGGAAGTGGCACTGAGGGGGGGGGCTGCTGGCCATACAAGCTGAGATCCCGGCACAGAAGGCCACACTCCAACCATGCTGCTAAGGAGCCCAAAATGACACACTAGCAAGACACAAGCAGTTTCTGGCCTCTTTGCAAAAGGTAAGGGAACAATGGACATTTCCTCCTAAGGGTTGACTGACACAGAATCTCCATTGTTAACTCATAACAAATGTAAGCATCCTGCCCAAAAACATAAACATAAATCCTAACTCCGCATAAGATTGATAGAAAGTTTGTGTTATGTTACAGCAACATTTTGTGTCAATTTTTTTGAAAAATTTGATTGTGATGCAATTCTCAGTTGAGCAAGTTTCAGGGCTTCCGCCAAGCAGCGCGATTGCGGGATTCCCGCAAAAAACTGCCCTAGCGCCCGCAAGAAAAAATAGTCAAAGCGGGCCATTCCGCACATGTTTTCAGTGAATTAAGCTGCTTGCACACTGGGCGAAAACGAATTTTTTCGCCACGACAGATTACGTTCAAAGTCAATGTAATCTGTCGCAAAAAATTCGCTTTCAAGGCCCAGTGTGCAAGCAGCTTTAAAGTACCTATACAAGTACTGCTTGACTCGCACGTTCATTCACGCCCACAAAATCTGAACAGATTGGACATTCAGAGAGTAACTAGCCAATCACTGAGCACGTTTTCTGCCTTGCCGCTGGCCACTGACCGCAGATGATCTCGAATCTTCCCTTTCGTTGCGCAGCACCGCAATCAGGGCAGTGGCCATTCATCTTCATGGCCAACGTCGTCCCCAATTTCAGACATGGTAATCACTAGCCTGCCCAGCGCTATACATATTTTCGCCTTGGGGACAAGGTTTGCGCCGTCTGCACCTGTCGTCTATTCATTAAAATGTTTAATCACCGGACTCACTTCAAATCAAGTGAATAATTTTTATAATGGGGGAGATGGCTTGCACGATAATGATTTTTTTTCATGCTGTCAATGCCAGTCTTTAATTTATGGGTATACGATAACGGTTTCCAAAGTGTCGCCTTCCGTTCTTGTCAATTTCGTTTTTCACGTAGAGGTTCCATGCGGATATACGTAGCGACCGAGAATCACCCTGCTTAGAGAAAGCACTGCTATTTTTTGTGTCTTTGCAGGTTTGTTTGTTGACTAGAGAATCTAGTCAAGCCCAGTCCTGTTCTAAAGCATACCGTTCTGTCGCGTAATATCCATTATCTGATTATAGTCAATGGCAGTTGTAACTTGTATTTTTTATTTTTCAAATTTTACACGGTCACTCAGTCACTGAGTGCAGTAATTACTTTTGTTGAATAAATGTATTATTTTTGTGAGAACTTTCGTCTTGTTTCAGTTCATCTGAATATCCTAAATGAATAATTGTTACAGTCTCTTATGGTTGTGACAGCTAGCTATTACATAGCCTACTGAAATCCCCCCTGACAAATTGAAAATCCCCCCCGACAAATTGAAAATCCCCCCGAAAAAAAGTTGGAAAGGGGGAAATCCCCCTCTGAAAAATATTTTGGCGGAAGCCCTGAGTTTGTTTCATGTAGGTGGGGTGAATAGACATGAACAGTGATGAAATTGCTATATAGCTAGTTTGGATAAGCACTAAGTAAATGATCAGATGACTTGGAGTTGTGAAGAAGTGAAAACAGGAACTGACCCTGATGGTGCCGAGAGGAACCGGCACAACTGCACTTCACCGGAAGGATCAGCAGAAACATATAAAGCCAGCTTCTTTCAACAGAAACATTAGAAGTGACACCGCGCAACATTGACAACATTTAAGGCCTCTGCAGTACAGCATTCAAGTGTTGCACCGTATGCACACAACACCAGGGAAAAGAGCAACTTCTGATCTCCAAAGTCCAAGAGGAAAGAACTACTGGAGCCCTCATTCAACAGGGCCAGCCACAGACACAATGCAAAACTCATTGCTAAACTTCAATCAGCCTTA